ACGTACAGTTGCGGACCTGCGCCTTTTTCGCCGAGCCCTGAAGGCCCATCTATTCCGTGCGGCCGGCCTGGCGTAGTTTGGATTGTGTTTCAGTGGGGGGTTTTGTATGGGTGTGTTTTTAGAACAGGCCTATTATTCAATTCGATTTTAAAACAGAAACTATTTATTTATTCGTGGTTTTTAGTATCGCCTGTTCACCACCCTGAGTCCCGCAAGGGAGATAGGGCGGTATATAAATTTAATAAATAAATAAAATAAATAAATAAATAAATTCACAACTCAAAATAAATTACTGAAATGCTCTCTACCATTCAGAAGCTACAGCTGATTCAGAATGTGAAAGAGTAAATTATTACCAACATTACCTCTATTCCATGGGTGTCAAATTTGCCACGTCACATGACATGTTGTGATGTATCGTGACTTTTTCGTGTTGCCGGAGCTGGGGTGGGCACAGCCTCCATATGATGCAACCGGCCCATGGGCCGGCAGTTTGACACTCCTGTTCTACTCTATGAGGTGTACTGATTACCAGTAACTTTTTGGATGCAATTCAGGGACCTATCAAGCACAGGGCCTGGTTGCTTGTGGAATGATCTGTCTACAATTACTTCTGCCCAAAACATTTTCTCAAGATAAATTTGCTCCTGGTCCAGTCTTAAGCAGTGTCATCTGGCAGGAACTAGAGTCAAAGCTTATTTGTCACAGTAACTGCCCTACAAAGGAGCATTTTCCCCCATGATCCAGATTGCCCTGAATATACATGCCTTTAAGAAGTAATTTAAAATCCTGACTTTTCCCCAAAGCATTGATCAGAAAGCTCTGTGCCCATCTTGATTGCTCTTAATTGTTTTTGGTTGGTAGAAATTGCCTCAGGTATGATATTTGTAATGTTATCTTGGTTGTTGTTTTTACAATTTTGTATTGCTTTTATTTGTGTACTCTTCCTTGAGTCACATGTCAGTTGAGCAACTGTACAAACTGATTTAATAGGTTATAAATATGAAAAAGGTAGATGTATATGTATAAGTCTTAGTTCCTCATATGTGCATTTGTGACTCTTATAAGACTGTATGGAAATTAAATCCCATTGAATCAAAGTCAAGAAATAATACTGTTAGGGTAGCTTTCTCAACTCTC